AGGTAAGAGTGGGGTTCCCATTTCATGTTAACGATTCTGCTTGGAGGGTTTAGTCCCCTGCAAGTGTATAACTAGACTGCATTTCAGAGATTTGATAGTACTGTATCCCTCCTAGGGGTGGTGCGATTAAAGAGAGGAGTGCGCTTCAGACTAACCAGTGTCTAAAGCGTATACTCAGTTGACTGGTGATAGACCCCCCCCGTTCAAGGGTATCAAAGAATAAGTAACGGCTGTATATTTGTATATTTTACTCTGTATTTTGGCTATCTTACAAGGGAGTGTGTTCTGGGGCTTTATTCCTCAGTCTAATAAGGGTGCGTTTCAGATATTAAACGTCCAACCCGACACACCCATCGCTTATATTATATTATCTACCAACCCGGCGGTTGTCAGGCTGCCACCAAGGCCGAACCCAATGAGATATACAAGGGCCACACACCGACTCTGGAACATTCGCGTTCTAGAGGTTTTGACCCCAGCGTCAGAAAGTTCATCAATTCTCTGGACCCCCCGGTCTACCGCACTATACACTTGCGGCGGAAAAAGTTCACTAACCTCGCCACACAGGAAGGCCCTCGATAAACTTGTTGAAGTAGTTCATACTTCCCAGGAACGACTGAACAACTTCAAAGTCGATGGTAACGGTAGTTCCTGAACGCTCTTGGAAATCTTCGGTGTAACTCTGATCCCTTCGGCGCAGACTTCGTGAAACAGGTACGGTACAGCTTGCTTACTGAATTCGCTCTTCGGGAGGTAGGCTGACCGAAACGTTCCAGTACAGGAGCCGGAATAGCAGAGCGTTCAGGTCCTCACAGAGTTGGTCCCAGGTAGGCGCCCCATGAGCGATGTCATCGATGTATGAGCTTTGCCCCAGGACCGTGTCGGTGTAGGAATGTTACACCTGAACATTGTCGACTGGATCGTCAGCACTGGAAGTCGGAAACCACCTTCGTCATGAGTACTCTCGACCGTTGTTTTAGAGTCTGGAAAGGGCCGTTTCAGAAACCTCAAGACATCTCGACCGACCTTGACCTCTTCCTCGGATGGGAGCCGCATGACTCCACAGAGTCAATTGTTAAGCGCACGCTGGTACACTAATGGCGTTCTTGCGTCCAATAGGCAGTCAGATACACTGAAAGTGTCCGAACAGGTAGACAAAGGCTGAAACCGCTTTGCACACTCAATCATCAGGATCGCTCAGAAACCACTCGCCCTATCCAGGCTCATGAACCACATCGCAGCATCAAAATCGGTCAGCAGGTCGTCAAGCAGAGGTAGGGGATACCGTGCTAGCTTAATCAACTTATTAACAAGTCGAAAATCAACACACATTCTGATATCCACTCCGCTCTTCATCAGAACGAACACGATCGGGGATGACCACTCCTATTCAGAGTGCTCAATGAGCCCAGTCTCCAGAATCTTCTTCGACAACTCATAGCCCTTCACCGAGTACCTGGGGGTGATCTGCCGAGAGCGCTGTGTTATCGGCTTTGCGTCACCAAGGTCCAAGTCACAAACGACTCCCGAGGCTGGAGCCGGCTCTGCATTAACATCACCCAGAAAGATACACCGATGGTACTTCAGGATCTCTCGCATCTTGCCCTCCATCTCTGGGGTCGTGATGCCCGGAGCGCTGACATCAGTTATGTCGATGTCACATTACGGGCTCAACTCCTCCGGTTTAGGAAACATAGTCAAGTGGTCGCTTAACTGAGTCACAAGCTCGGTCCCTTCTCGCAAATACACGGCTGGTTCCAATTCCTCTGTCGTCACTTGCATGACACCTTCGTAGTCTGTGGACCGGAATGTCCGAGAGCAGATGTGCCGGGAGGTTTGAAATGTCATCCGCATCATCCGATAAATCATTCAGAACGCTTTCCAGAACGTTATTTGACGCGTCTTCCGAATCGACCTCTGGTCCGTACTCTGAATCGTCATTCCTTTCTGGAACGAGATCTGTCAGCTTTGTCTTCGACTGACACTCTGAATCATCAGCCTCAGGAAAGACAGCCAGAACTTCCTCCAACTCGCAGAAGTTCTGGAGTCGTTTTGAGTCCTCTGTACTTGCCACAGTCGCCCCAATTGTAGACGTCTTTGAAACCACATTTCGGGCTTCGGGCTCGGCCACTTTACCAGGAACACATCCACACATGTCTGAACGACGCACCCGCAGGCATCTGGAGTGAGGACTTCTCTGGTACTCACCTGCCCAATCTCCTCGGTGCGAGGCGTTTCAGCAAATTCTGTCTGAACATTCACGTTCCTGACTTTTGCCTCTGGGTTTGGAGTAAAATCACTCCGTGTAGCAAAAACAAATCTCCACAACCCTGTCCGTTCCTGTAACTGCACCATTCGAACATCTGCTTCCTAAACTTTCGGGCGTACGAGGAGCTTTGTCGGCCACTGATACTCTACTCTGGTCGTGGCACTGCGGGAGGGTCCTGCAATTGCATCATTTGTTTCAGACACTCGGCACGCAATCCGAGCCTGACGCGATTCAGTGCTCTCGAGGATACGTCGTTGACACTCTTTATACCTAGTCTTTCCTGGGCGAACGAATCCTGGTTCCTTAGGGAAGTATCCATACTCCATAATCTAGCCTAGTGCGGTCCGAGTCTTGATCCAGACATTTTTGTTTGAAACATTGACCACTCGGACAACTGTAGCCAAAGACCTAGTCCCAAACAGGATCTAAGTCACCCTTACTCGTCTGGCCCAGACTACTTCGCGCTGCGGATTCGTCTGACCATATTCGACCTTAGCTGCTGCGGCTTCACGGGGACGTAGGTACCGACTTTCCTTCGCGCAGACCGACATCTACGTTTCCTAGGGACATCGTCATACATCACAACATCCTCCTCATCCGGTAACTTGACTATTCCTTCGCGGATGCACGATGTGATTCCAGCCGAATACATGAAGTTCATATCCAGCAATACGTCCTCACCTTCACCAATATTTTCGATCCAGACATTCTGAAGATAAACCACTTTCCAACCAAGAGTAATCTTGACGCAAGCATGCGCGGAAATATACGTCGGAACTCCTCCCAGACCAGACACCATGATCTGGCGATGCGTTCGGATTTTAATTCTGACCCTACGTGCTAGGTCCAGACTCACAATACTCAACAAAGCACCCGTATCTAGGAGTATTCTCGTCCGCAGATCGTTGATCGCCTCACACACAGTCGCAATCTCATGCGAATTCTCTGAATCGTGATCTTCTCACCATCCGTATTTCTGACGGACCCAACGCAACTTCTACCGTGTCATCGGCAACATTTAACCCTCACACCGCCTCGTTTGAACGCTGATATTCAGGGTAAAGTCGCTCAGGATAGATGATATCGTCTTGAATTAGAGGCATGGATTGTTTGTTATCTTGATTTTGTTCTTCCTCGTTCTGGACCCATACAAACTAGCACACACAGTTTGGGGGGGTCTTGAGCCCGTCGCGTACAGTGGCTTAGTGGTTTAACCGCTACCTTCCCGGTCCTGTGTCTTTCGTCTGCAATTGGAGCAGAGTCTGGCTCGGCACCGTGTCGTTCAGAAATCCCTGATTTGCAAGACGTTTCACGGTCTTGAACGTTCTCCATTCCGAGCACGGAATCCCAGGGTGGGCTTCTCCGCACTCCGGACATTGCTTCTTCTGGCAGACTCGTGCAGGGTGTCCCGTTTCAATCATTTCCCACAAACTAAATTTTGCCAGTAGTTCTCCTCTGGGTGTCCCCTTTTTGCACCTGTCGCAGAAGGTATTTCTATTCTCCAGGCGTTGCTGCTCCGACCACTCTGAAACGCGATATGCTTCGTAAGAATCCTCGGTCAGTTCAGGCGTCTGGTGGCCATAGACATCTCGGCCGTACTCTAGGATCTCTGGATCTGCAGCTGGGGCCTGCTCTTCAACCTCTGGGGTCTGGAACGGGGCATATATCTCTAAAAACGGTGCGGTTCCAGAGTCAAACGCCTTGAGTGAGGTGCGCATGTCCTGGCCGTCGATGCTTGAGCCCTCCTCGCGGATAGTCGGCCCAAATATCACGCGTCTTCGTCGGTGGTGTCTCGTAGCCGTCACCGCTTCAAACGTCCTGGTCCATCGTTTTCGAGATTTCAGGGATAACAGTTCGAGATAAATACATGCCCATACCACTATCTACGTTCTGGACTACTTCGGCTTGGCCGTTAATGACCAGCGTATAGAGGTACTCGCCATTCAGGAATCGACTGCATTGAATTTGCAAACCTTTCCCAGGGGGAACCCTGCGTTCTAGACCAGGTCGCATGCGAATAGCTCTCTGAGGGTCCAGACAGACCCACCACACTCGGCACGGAGTCAGAGACATAGCGTTACGGAGTCGCTTGAGTTCAGGCTCGTCATCATCAGATGGAGGAACGTGAAACAAACTCTGTCCCTAGAAGGTCGGACTCCGTATCCGTCATCGGTGAGTCGCCTCGAGCCTCCGGTCCCAAAACAGTTGACTGCGGTTCCAGCCCCGGCGTCACCTCGCAAGCCACACCCACCGAGAGCTTCTTCCACTCGATGAACTCCATAGCAAACAGGCACTAAATAGTTTCCACCACGAAGGAATCTGGTTCAGACCGACTTTCACAGCATGGGTCCAGAACCATTCCGACACGACATTGTCGATCTAGAAGCCTGCCTCGAAAAACAAAATCTGAAGCACAGCGGCACACTGGCGGGCTTCATACAGTGTGACTGGGACTTGGGTTGCTGCCAGGTCTTAGACGCGCCCGAAACCACGGCGTTCTGGGTGTAACTCAGAAATCCAAGCTTCGTTCTTGTCGTCCAGAGAAGCCTGATGGAGCACGAAGTTGGAAACTGCCTTGCCCGCCTCAAACCACGGTGCGTAGCCTAGTGCTTCAGACCACGCGTACGCCACTTGTGGCAGAAACACTCGTTCCGAGGGAACTTGCTCGTGTTGTGTTGAGAATTCACGATTGTACCCCTCCCGTCACTCACAACAATTCGTCAGCCCCGCGAAGAGCTAACGACGAGCGGGATCAAAGGAATATACTCGATAGTCCGTGACTCGATCCCCTTCCGGGCTCCACTTGACTCTGCGCTGGTAGTGTGGTAGGTCGTAGGTCGACCAAATCTGACGCCCTTGGCACGAGCACTCTAAGACGTCTTCTCCTCCTCCTCCTCCTCCTCAAACTTGACCCTGCCTGCCCTTCTGTGATGGAAGGTGCTTGACTTTTCAGCCAGACGCAGGGGTGCCGGGCACTCGCTCCAGCGGTAAGAATTGCTGGGAATGTGCTTCCAGTCTTCGACAATAACTCCTCGGCCTTCAATACGACCAAACCTCACACCTAGCACTTGGACTTGCCACGGAAGAACAGGAGCTCTTCAACCGAATTCACCAACAGACATGTATACCACCTAAGTGACCTGGCCCTTATGGACTTACCCAAAAGAAGTGTCACTTCAGGTAGCAAATTATGTTCTGTTCTCCGCCCTAGTGGACGGTAAGACTAGTCCTAACACCTACTATAGCGTATACAATATCAAGTATAAATGCGACTAAGCTAACGACTCTCAAACGGCTAACGACGTCTCGGCCAATCACCCGACGGTGACTCACCTAAGTGCGGATCTCGACTACTCGTCATCTGGAGCGTTGTACACAGCTCCCGATATAGTGACTTGGTGGTTGAATGTCCTTGTAAAGAGACCTACGAGCATTGGTCACGAGTCGTAGTCCGGCAAATCCCGGTTGTGTGGACCACCGTTATTGACCGAGAACTTTCAACGGCGGCTCCCTTAAGTCGGTTCCATTCACCAACTCAGCACTCGTCGGCAAGTCGCTTCTGCGAGAAAACCTGACACCACAACTGCCTCCGCAGCAATACGAGCCTCAGCATGGTAAGTGTCGTTGCGCTCATGTCGTCTCCGACTTCCAAGACCGCGTCTCCATCGACAGTGGCATCGTCAACTCCAGCTGCAACTCCACCTTTACCGTATCTTGCCGTTGGATCTTGTGCTCACGATTACAGCTTGTTCAATTACTGCAGACATCTCCTGCTACTGCTCGAGCC